TGGCCTAGGCGGATATCCATCCGGGATACGAACCCGTAACCGTCTGTGCATGAAGTGCACTACTTGCCACTACACCACTTTTGCCCAAAATCTAGATGAAGGGATCCAATCGCTTTCAAGGTCTTGTTTACGCGATCTCAGCAAAACAGTATCCTTAGGCAATTTCTCTTCCATTACGACTTTACTAGTCAACGGAGACATAATCTTACTCACCTCGGTGCTCTTCCCCTTATTAGGTTCAGGCTAAATCTCTACCGCCCTGGCTCGAAATCGTTCCCGAGCACCGGCCGCTCTGGCTCTAGCAATTGCTTTTGGAGAGGTGGAACAAAGTGCATTGGTCTCACCCTACTACATTTTCACCGGTGATAATTCATGATAAGACATTTTCCATAATAGTGGTATTTTACTACCCTACAAAGTCGGTTTTCCTTCACTTCGAACATTCACATTTTGTACTTTGACATATCTCATTGATAATAAAAAAAATTTGTAGCTTGTCCAAAAGCTCAATTCTCCCCTGTTATTGGAGAAAATAGAGAGATAAGGTCTCCCTGAGGGCGAAAAACACTCAAGAGATTGTCATTCCACTGTGGAGCGAAAAGCAGGACGATTAACAGACCCTTATACCCACCAAGATCCTGATTCACCGGACAACTGCCAGCAAATAGCATCCTTGTGCTAAAAATAACCCTCAGCAGGTGCTCCGTGCCGTGGGGGTTATTTTTAACGTGACGGGCTATTTTTACTGGCTTTTTTTCTGCATGGAGAATTTTTGGCCCTCTTGTCTCCAGATAACAGGCTGGCCAAGACTCGGATGGACCAGAATTACCTCTGAATCTCACAGCGAAACTTACCCAAAACAGAAATACTTCTGAGCAGTTGAGACAATCATCACTGAAATTTTGGAAAGGTAACCATGGCATTACTGAAACGTTTTGAGCCAAAGCTCTGCTTATGGAATTCATTGTCTCCTCAGACGAAGGATTTTTTGTGTTTTGTTCGTCAGCTATAAATTCCAGTGAGACGGAATGTGGTAAACAAACGTCCTACGCAATTAAAAGACTGTCGGGGATTAGTGTAGGATTGCTTCGGGTATTCTGGAACGAGACTGCAGCATGATTATGTAGTAAAAAGAGATGACGAGGGAAAAGGGGGGAAATTGTGACGTCCCTGCTGAGCAGCTCTATCCGTTCCCCGTAATTCTGTTTTGGAAGTTAGGTTAGGTTTTGCTAAGTAAAAAGTTTTACTCAATTGAGGTCATTCCTTGGCAGTGAGTGCGGCCTCGAATACTCTACGGGTCTTTCTATGGATTTATGGAAATAGGGCTACATGGGATTCTACAGCTAATGTTTTTCCTTACAGGTAACCTCTGGCGAGCTAAACAAAGCTCGGAGATCAGTCCGAATGTTAGCATCGAATTCGCTGCATTTGCTAAACACTGTAGGACGACAACGTCGGAGGACACCGGCATCACCTATCACTATTCACCTAATGGAACAGTTTATTCATTGGCTGAGGTGAGCCCAATTTATAACCAGCGCTATCTATCAACCTTCTGTCACGGTCCAGTGATGAACTGGGATCGCTGGGGCTCAGTCCCGCTTTTGGCCTCAAATATGCATCATTCTTGTCTCTCTCATTTTTTCTCTCCATTTGTTGTCACGCTCGTGATGGACAACTTGTCAAAGTAGATGCTCATTTTTTCTCTCCATTTGTTGTCACGCTCGTGATGGACAACTTGTCAAAGTAGATGTACTGGTACCCTTGAAAAACTTGTAGCGAAATCTAGATCGATTAAGGCTTGTTTTATGGCTCTTATGATACTTGCAACTTCAGCTCTTTATTCACCAGCATTTGCCCTAATCCTTCGGTATTAACGAATCCCTTCCGAGGGATACGCTATGCGCTATTGCATCCGACACCCATTCAGAATCGTGGAGGCATTTGAGTCTGTATATGGCTCACACAAAGACAGTGATTTAGGGTTGAGTGCTTTTGTCCCCCAGACGATTTTGATACCAACTGACCGACTCCGAAGAATGGAAGGTTTCGTTGACAGGAGAGGATATCAAACTCTCGGCCATAGGTGTGCGACAGTGTGACACTTGCCACTACACCACTTCCGTCCTGATGACCTCTCACCTCATGCGAATTGAAAAAATCCTAT